TGTAAAACAATGAACTCTTCTGCCTTTAAATTTCTCCTTCAAATAGTTTAAGTGGAACAACAGAAGAGGCACTCTACTTGGTTTTCCCCAGTGGTTTTTATTTGCCTGCTGGCGAGAAGCTTTCCTCAATAAAGCCCTAAGTACATAAAGAAAGAACCAGGACAAGACTAAACTACATTAGTTTAATGCAAATAAAATAGTGAATTAGGTACTTGGAATAGTAAAGTTTTAACAGTTGTGATACAGGTCTTGGCTTTGCTTATTTTCTCATGGCACTGGGGATTCCTGCAGCCCCCACAAAATGGACTATGGCAAAGCACTTCGTATGGAGGTAAAAATAATGGGGTCAGAGGGTCATGCTGCAATAATAATTAGCTTGGAGAGAAAAAGTAGGAACTGGAAAGAGAAAGTCACAAGGACTTGGAAAGCACTTACATAGGGTTTTAGAATTGTACGGAGATTTTCAGGGTGGATTTGCTTTTTTGCCTTCATCCACCTTGGATAGAAGTCCTCCAATTACGTATGTATCTGAGTTATTTTTTTTATGACTTGTTTTTAAGGAAAGAAACTTTTGATAATTTTTCTTGGGTAATATATATTTCTGACATTTAGACATATATAAATGTTCAATCTTCAAATGATTATGCATTGATCTTAAAAATGTAGACTGGTTATGTATAGAAGAAGGAGTCATCTTTGGAGAAAATGCACTAATGTTTAAGATGAGTGGTTCTGAGACTTTAATATGCACCAGAATCACCTGGAGAGCTTGTAAAACACAGATTGCTGATTCTGTGGGACTGGAATGGAGGTTGAGAATTTGCCTTTCAAGCAGGCTCCCAGCTCCTGTTGCTGCTACTGGTCTGGAGACCACACTTTGTTCCAATTGCTTCCTGTGGATGTTAAATTAAGCTGAGGGTTGGTTGATGAAAAGGGGATTCAGATAGAATAAGGACTTGGAAATCTTTGATTGGTATACACAAAAGGGAGGTCCAACACATTGAACAAGGCCCTGACCGGGGTATAAAGGGCACTGCTCTTAATCCGCATGGCTGAGCCTGCGCCCCCTGCCTCAGAGTTTCACGTGAGTGAGTGTATGCTGCATAAAACCAACTGTACTTATATTAAGTAAAATAGTTAACATTTTTCGTGGATTAATTTTTAATGGCTCTCAAAATATAAATCTAGAGTGTTTTAGAGTTTAGCATACTATATCATGTTTTAGCATTTCGTCTTCATCTTCAAACAGTAATCTAAGCTAAAATTTTCAATATCAGATCATTAAAAAAATAAAAAAGCATTCCTCTGGCTCAAGTGTTATCCCTGCCCTCCCCTAAGAGCAGCTTCAATAACTACTCTTTATTATTTTATATTGTATTTAATGTTATAATGTTCAATTTATTTTGTTAAATTCAATATGTCATAAAATTACATGATCTCCACCAACAAAGACCACATTGTTCCTTTTGAAATAATGTGTTCATGAAAATTAATTGGTTACGGTAACCAGATATATGTACTTACAATACACTTCCTAGTTTAAGAAAACAACATTTTAAGACACATTTATATAAGGGATGTAGAGTAAAAGTATACAAGGTATTGGTGCTAAAGGAATAACATGATACACAAATACTAAATATTTTGTGAGTTTCACAGGATAATAGCGATTTACAACGAAGCCTCTTACGTAGATGAGTAAGATAAGTAAGCCTCTTAGATAAATGTGCGTGTCTGTTTCAGAAGGATGAAACTCTTCTCCCAAATGTTGGCCACCTAACAGTTATTTTTACCTACTTTGGAACTTGCGTTGTTTTTGAACTGGAAGCCATTTTGAAATGCCAAAGATGAGATTTGACGACTGACCAGTCTGACTGGCCACTCATGTCTACGATGTGGTGATGACATTTAAAGTGGCATCATCCTTTTCTGCTGGAATGCGTGCCCTTATCTTTAATGTCAGCACTAGCCTGTGCTATGACACTTGTTAGATTCATTGGTGCCAGGTGCTATTTCAAGGTTAGTAATAGGGATATTTCTTACACAATACCCCAACATTCCACTTATTATTTAAAAGTTAGGTTGTCAAAGTCCAATTTTTACTGTTCTGCTCACTTCAGCATGTACTGTGACCATCTGATTCTGCTCTAGTTTTAAAATACACAATTCTGAAATGTGTCCTCAGGAAGTAGTCCTCCTCTTTAACCTTGGAATCATTCCTGTGAAAAATAAGTGTTTGCTTGTGTCTGACAGTGCCCAGACTTGACTCAGAGACGGGCTGATAAATAACAGGAAACAACCGGGGAGGGACTGTGGTGCGCTATGTTACATCCAGCATCCAGGGTGTCTCTGCCCAGACCGAGCCCAAAGAGGCATCTCTGGCCAACTGCTGTTTTTTGAAAATCTCCCAGCAGGATTCTTTCTTAGGCTACAGTCACAGGAAGATTGGATGTAGCTGAATAATCTATCCAGTCCAGTGAAATGACAAAAAGGGGTAGTAAGTAAAGAATGCTGAGTTGTTTTTTTCTTTTTTCTTTTTTCACAAGCAACACGCTTTTTTCAACACACCTCTATCAAGTTAGACCAAGAGTTATGGAGCTCAAATACATAGATTGGAAAATTAATACTAGTATAACCCAAGAGCAATTCAATAAATTCTACAAACATTAAATAACAGTCAATGATAATGAAAATTTATAATCTCCCAAAGGGTTATCTGTCTACATCCGGTTTCCAACTGTTATGTCCACTTGCACTCCGTCACAATCACATCGATCTTCTCTGGTGCTGTGTCCCCTCTGTGTGCCATCCTTCCCCTAAATTCTGCTCTCCATGCCGTGGGTTCCCCGTAGCCGTCTGGACCTTCATATCATGGGATTTGTTTTTCAAATTTATGAGAGGCTTAGTTGGCTTTCTCTTAACCGAATAATTTTTAATTAAATGATTATTATCAGGGTGCTTTGGGACTATTGTTCAATTAACAAGTGAGTGTGCACTTTTTGTTTTCTTTTCTTTTGATTTTTAATGTATCAGGTGTCTCATTTGGGGCACCCTGACTATTGGTCACTTTATGAGCCCCTCCGCCCCACAGCTCCCTGAGCTATTTCACTTGTTGGAAGCATTGACTCAGTTGTACCAGTTTGGAGAGTATTTTGGGGATATAAATATTCTCTTTACTTGTTGGGTTCTTTTGGAGTAAGTTTCTTAATTTCCAAAATAGTGATACTTTCCTGGTCCTGTGGTGTTCTAAAACAAAGTCTTGTCTGGTTTGAAATACCACTGAAAAGGCAGATTTGCTAGAAACCTTATAATGTATAATTTGGATATATTAATGTTAATTTAAACACTGTCTTTTAATATGTATTATATATAAAACATCCAGCTCTATACCAGGGTAGGAATGCTGACAGAGGAAAAAGAACTTTGCTTTAAGGGAAAGTATGTAGGCATTTGGCTGAAGATGATAACCAACTACTTTGTGGATTTAAATGACTATAGCATATTGCCCTACAGAGCTATGTTCAAAGGACTTGGTTTATTAAGAAGGAGAACTAGACAGGAAATCAAAAGGGACACACCTCTCTGTCCATCAAAGTAGCATTCTCCATGTAGAGTCAAGCCTACTCAATCTAGTTCTGGTTCTTCAATTAACTATAGCAAATCTTAACTCCATATTTTGGCTCACACTATGTGTTTTGATGTTATGTGTTGTTGGAAAACTTGTAACTGATGCATGAGTGTCCTCTCTGTTCAAACTGTTTCTAATATATAATTTCCTTGTCCAGTGTTCTTTCAATAAGGGTACCTAGTCCTTTCAGGATGCTTGTTAGAATGATGCAAATGAAGGTGTGGGTTATTTATCATTTATAAAAAGATATATCGCAACACCCTACCTACCACAGTGGCTGTAATGAAAAGAACAATGTGATTATTATTTTTCTTGCAAAATGGAACATTGGGTTTAAGCCAGCCTTTGGAGTAATGGGTAGTCTGACAGGCATAGGCCTCCATTGAGACCCCTTCTTTGTCAGGTGACATTTTTAAAGGTTTTGAGCTGGAAAACCTGATCTAAGAATCTCCCTGCCCACTCCAGCCCACCCCAAGCCACAAAGGTTTTAATCTGCGTAAATAAACGTTAATACATATAGATTTCTTTATGATGATTTTCTGTCTCCGTAAATGTCTCTGCAGTACCAAAACGATAGTGTGAAGCAAAAAGGAACTTGGGAAAATATATATTACTATTTTTAAAAAATCTCAGAAGACACAGACAAAAGAATTGCATCGGTCCCATTAGGTAGTCAAAACACAGTGGAGCCTCCTGACAGCAGATCTGGGCACGAAAGACCCACATGTTGAAAGACTGTCACTGCCTTGAATTTCTCAGACTACTGTCTGTGGGAAGCAAGGAGAAAAGAAAGCATGGGAGAATTCCCCATCTTCCGTGTACTCCATTTGGACTTAGGCAATACATTTGCCTCTGAACTTTTGAGCTTCAATCTCAGTCCCCAGGGTGCCAACTTCCCTTGTTATAGGTGAACTTCTTGCTGTAGACACCTATTGGGGACTGTATTAATAAGGTGCATTGTGGAAAGAAAAAACACATTTCCCAAGCCAAGAAGGTGAGAGCTATTTTTTTTTCCCAGGGCCCTTGTTAATCTTTGGGAGCCCAGCATCTTCCATGGCAGAACAAAGACGATACAGGTGTAAATTCTGATTTTTTTCCACTCCACAAAGAAAATGTTGTTGATGTGTTAGTGCGCAGCTACACTTCTCCTAAGAAAAGCAATAAAATATTTCTTCCTTCCATCCAGAGGTTTTAGAACTCGATTCCCATTGCTTTCCAGCATCATTCTAAATAGAACCCCACTGTTTGGCCACAGCCAAAATTAGCTTGAATGGTACCTATTATTGAAAGGGAGTCTGTATTTGCAGTAATACAGAGAATGCTAGTTTAGAAATGAGCCTGATTGCATGGTTCATTTTGTTCTCCTTTGTAGAGCCAGGCTGCGGCCCACTACAAAGGCACGAAACATGCCAAGAAGCTCAAAGCACTGGAAGCTGTGAAAAATAAGCAGAAATCTGTCACTGCCAAGGACAGCGCAAAGACTACCTTCACCTCCATCACTACCAATACCATCAATACCAGCTCTGACAAAACAGGTTAAGCAACGATCTTTGTTGTTGTTGTTGTTGTTGTTGTTGTTGTTGTTGTTGCTGTCATCATCGTTGTTCTTTGGGGTTTCTTCCCTTGTCTGACCCGGTGTCTGTTTGTTTATGTTTCTGCCACATTGATTCATGCTTGATCCATCTTTCTATGTGATGGTAATTGTTTCCCCTCATTTTTCTAATACCCTGAAGACACAAAGGTAATCACAAGTTATAATGCAGAGTTTGCATGTGACACAGTCCTTTGACTGTTTTAAAAGCCATATAGGAGTCATAAAGGCCTTTGAAGCCTTGTCCCCAACAACCCTGTTTGAGAAGTGAACCTTTCCCAGTGTGCATCGCTTGGACCTAGCATGCAGCACCAGAGCCCGAGACTGCATGGCAGATTTGATTTAACTATGAGTGCACAGCAGCGTATGCCAAATGAATCGAGAAGGCCCTGATAAGGGCATTATTACTGACAGGACTTATTCTCATAAATCCCAAACATTGCAGAGTTTTAAGTAGTAGCTGTGTTATTCTGGGCTTGTTACAGCTGGGTAACCTTTCCTCTGCATACACAGGTAAGTGTTATTGATACCAATTACTCTTTTTAACAGAGTCTTCACAGTGACATAATGGCCTCTGAAAGGCCCCTTGGGATAGCTCCTGCAAACAGCCAGTTTATTTGCAGTAGGGGATGCCCACGGGGTTTCCCTAGGCCAACATTTTAAAACATGAGAACACTGGTCCTCAAAATGTACATGAAAGGAAATCCTCTGTGATTCATAGATACATCTTTAATAAATCACTATCTGAAATAGAAGGGCTGGTACATGTTTCCCAGTCACTACGAATGGCAGTAGTCAGGAAGCATTCGTATTATTATAGATAGTAATGTCTTACCTGGAAGAGGCTCTTCTGGCCATGACTGATGAAAACATAAAATGCTACAGTGAACAAATAGAACAGATTATAGTGACTTTATTATACCTCGTTACACCCATTAGACATGTATATGCTACTCAGAGGATCTGGGGAGATGCTTGCTCATCTGTGAATCTGTAAGGGATAATGATGTTCTCCCCAAGTTCCCATGACAACATGGTTGTCACTCACCCAGGTATTAGTGGTAGATGCATTATGTAGTCCTCCCTGAGAACGGTGTGTACTCTCTGAAGCTGAGTGCTGCTGTCATCTCTGTACCCTGTCACCAAGTGTAGGTGCTGAGTAAAATGTCTTTTGGACAGCTGAATTTTCTCTCGCCCCCTTGAATCCCTGATCCATTCAATTTTGTGTCACAATGTACGAAAGTTACCAAAGAAGTGCTTGTCACCTTTAGTTCTTTAGTATCCGGAGTAAAAGCTGGATTACGTGATTTTATTAATTTACATGTAAAACTTACAGGGAAAGCGTTAATCTTTGCTCTATTAATTTAAAACTTACTCCCCTCCCTTGGGAGCCATAGGGGATGAGCAATAATGATGCAGGCGAGTGTAGTCTTATTTCCCAGATATTTAGGGAACAAACTGGCATCCCTAAAGCCACACTTTCCAAAAAGAAACATCTTTCATTTGCAAACAGGAAGTTGGTAGGGAAAACAAAGAGATAGATTTCATGTAATGGGTTTGATTTAAACAGGTGAGTTTTCTGTGAAGAGTTTGATATAAAGAGTTTGCTTGCCCCCAAGTATTTCTGCTCTTGGATATTTTCATCAGTAATGGCTGTTTGGGTTATCTTGACTCTTCTTTAAAATGCAAAAGTCCCTGTTAGATTGAGGATGCACATCATTTAAAAATATACATGTACATGGCAGGTAGAGCTGCTCACCTGGGTTAGAAAAGGCACCTACGTGTGTTGTCTCTGTTACGAATGCCTTCTTCCATTCATCATCTTAAAGAGTGAAATGTGAAGGTGGCAGTCATCAAGGCTCTGTTGTTCTGGAAGTCGAGTAGAAACAAGTTTTGGATTGGGCTATGGGTGGCGACCTACAATTAACTGGTTCCCAGTGGAGTTGCCAGGCCTTACCTAATGGTCAGAATCATGTTGAAATGGTGAAACCCACTTTCAGGTTGGAGCTAGAGAAAATTCCAGAAAGGCAGAAAGGATAGTAAAATTTATAAGGTTGACACAAGTATTCTAAAGTCGAAGGATGTGATGGGCATCAAGAAGGACATTGTTATCCTAATCTGTGGGGATCTATATATCTATACTAAAAATGTTTTTTAAATAAAAAAATCCCCACCACTTTCATAGTTTGAAAGGCCGAAAACTGTAGCACACTTACCAGATGTTTTAAGTCAAATTTTATCAAACTGGGATTTCCACAAAACTGTCTATAAAAATTAGTCCAAGAAAGCTCCTGTCATTTTATAGATTCCTTTCCCATTTGTATTACAATATAAATCAGAGGCACCTGTGCTAACCAGTTGGAATGTTCTTAAAACAATTGTTGTGGTTCCTCATACTGACTAGGAAGGAGAATAACCCTGAAAACAAAATAGGTCCCTGAGCTATTTTCCCAGAAGTGTTAAATACTTGGAGGCAGACAGAGAGAGAGAGGACTCTAGAATTAAAGATCATGTATTCTTTAATAACAAAAATATGAACCATTTTGCTTAATGCACAGTATTATTTTGTGATAATAGGCTTCTAGGCTTCTAGCCTTCTAGGCTTTGGCATACCTAAAAGGTGTTAAGTGTACTAAATCACATTTTGCTAGTTTTACCAAATTATTCTTAATAAAAATAATCCAACTATATTAAAAACTAATTGCTTTTAAAAAGGCAAAATACACAATGATTTGGTAGACAAGAGCCTTACGAGAAGGCTGGGTAACAACAGTTGTGAAAAGAGCAAGAAGTAATGTGGACTTGAATTAGGAAATTGGCTTGGAAGTTTTCCTCGGTTTCTCAAGCATACCAGAACCGGAATACTCATAAACAACAAACTTTCATCACAGATCTACTTGATAAAAAGAGAATTGTGACAAACAATTCCTCTTAAATTTCTAAATCATGCATTATAACTTTTAATTGCTGCCTTAGGCTAACAAATATGTCTAAATGACACTTTGGGTAGGCTTTTGTTCACTAACTTTATGACCTTGGAATGCTCTTTTGTTACTCATGTCAGTCTACATGCTGGAGGGGTGAGTAAGAGACAGTGCTCGGAGATCAGCCCCCAGATGCTCGCAGAAAGCCTAGTTCCTCTATCTCTAAACAGTAAAGATACTCCCTAACTTTAAAACGTAACTTTATTCCATGTGATCTAATAAGAAGTATTAGTTGGTAAACATTCACAAAGAAAAATTTGCAAGCATAAGTAATATTTTTAAAAATATTTTTTAAACACTTTATTTATTTATTTTTAGACAGAGAAGGGAGGGAGAGAGAGAGAAACATCAATGTGCGGTTGCTGGGGGCTGTGGCCTGCAGCCCAGGCATGTGCCCTGACTGAGAATCGAATCTGCGATGCTTTGATTTGCAGCCTGAGCTCAGTCCACTGAGCTACGCCAGCGAGGGCTTGAAAAATATTTTGAACACTCAAAATTGTTGGTGTATAGGATGGTTGCTATTTGTCACAAGAATATTTCATAGAGTAAACATTTTCAGATTAGAACAGAATAACTTTATATGATCTGGCAGGGTTTTTTTTTTAAATATAAGAGTTTTCTACAGAGAAAATAATGGCAAAAATTAAGAAATTATGCTCAAAGGAACTTGGCAATCTAACTCAGTTGTTTTCTTTTCCAATGAAATGGCCAATTCGGAGTTGTTGGTTTTAGTCTTATGCTAGGCTGTCCTCTAATTTTTCTTTGCTTTCCCTGTTTGGGAAATCTTATTTGTTCCCATCGTCTATCAGTTCGGTTAGGCTAGATTATACGGCAGTAATCACAACTTCTAACTCCCAGTAGCCAGCAACTAATTATTTCTCACTCACTCAACACATCAGCTGTGGTTTTCCTTCCATGTTAATTTAACTCCAGGGCCAGGCTAATGAAGCAGTCAGTAGCTAAATATTACCAGGTCTATGGAAGAGGGAAAACAGAGTCATGAATCAATAGGCTTTTAAGCTTTTTGGCGGAAGGGACAGATAACGTACCCCTCACTTCCACTGGCACATCATGTGGCCAAGCCTGATTATAATGGGCAAGAACGAATAATCTCCTCCAGGGAGGGGAAGCAGTGTTAGTGAACAATCATGTACACTATTCCACCACGGCTTCAACTGTCATTGGTGCTTAGGTGTCTCAGCGTTCCACACTTCTAAACTTGAAGCCTCCTAGTTGTCTTTGCCCCTTCGCACTATCTCAGTTCAATTCACACATTGATTCAGCTGTTGGAATCCGCTCACCTCACAGTCCCAGGAAACATCTTTTCACATGTGGTTAGAGCCCAGTTCCTGGCATTGCGGTCTGTGTCTCACCCGTACGCTTGCCCTAGCCTCAGTTCTTCCCCCCAGACCATCATCTCCCTGCCCCACAGTGTGTTTAGACTGGCCCATGCATGGGTCCCAGCACTTAACCACTCAGAGACCTTCAGTGTGTCTGTGTGCTGAACTAACTCCATGGCCCTCTGTGATTTGACCACAACTACCTTTCCCGACTTTTCTTCCATTGCTCACCTGCAGTATGTTCTACTAGAGACACACTTTTTGGGGTCTTTGTTTCTTATAAACTGTTCTTTTAAATGTCTTAAAAATCTATCACTTTTCTCTTTTTCTTTTTGCCTATGAATTCCTAAAAGAACCCATACTTTCCTAACTACCATATTGTATTCTTCGTAAAATATAATTTTTATGTCTTTACCTTTTTTTATTGCTCAGTAATGACATGTTTGTTGAGAGTACATACTTGAGTAACCATTTTGTTTTTTTTTTCTTTATGGGGTACTTTTTATGTAAAGGAGAATATGTAGTTTTCAAACTTGAAGCAGTGAGTTTTGTGTTTTTGTTCTTGAACTGAAGCATAGCAAAGCTTTAGACTTTATTTGTGAGTGATGTTTCCATGAAAG